TCATGTTTTTATGGGGAAAAGGAGGCAGGTTAATAAAAATACATAAAAAGATTCTGAACCGTCATCGTTTTAATTTTGAGAAGTTATATATATTCATGAATTCCTCTTTGGCACTGCTTTATTTCCAGCAAACAAGAGATTGGTCCATGAAGAAGCTAAGAAGGCTGTTGAGAGAGACAGATCAATGGTTAAAGTCTCCGAACTGTCAAGGCATGGACTTATGGAAATAAGAAAAGTAAATAGTTGTTGAAATTTTATCAGGCGATGATGGAAGAGAGACCGGACCCAGGAAACCCCAAATCTTGGCCGAAATTTATTCTGAGAGTTGACCGTCACATGTGTCTGTACCTAACTTCTGGCAAAAGGACTAGACTTGCATTCTTGAGAGGTTCCCTCAAGGTCTGGATTCTACTAAAGGTATGTAAAACCGACGAATATTCTTGATCCCAATCCTTCAGTTTCTGTTCAAGATTTAGGATGACATGAATGACTCCACTCACACCACCCTCTTATGTAAAGTGACCTCTATGGTATGCGAAATGCACAAGCGAATAATGGTTAACTTGAAACTTTAGATTCATCAGTTCCATTAGTACAAACGAACACAACATTCTTGCCCCGTACTTTGTAGCTGATACGTGCATCTGGGTAATGGGATCGCCTTAACTTTTTCATGATTTGCATTGAAATTCACTGATTGTCAAGAGGCGTAAACCTCTTTCAGGTGGCTAGAGGTTTCACTAGAGGTGCATTTGAGGTGAAGCCTTTTTCAGATGAAGAGTCGCATAAAGATCCGCCTCCAGAAACGATTTCAATGTTACGATCTTCGGAAGGCAGGGCTAACAATTCTGTCCGAAAGGTGACCTTGTTTCCGGTCATAAAGTGGAAGACCGGGCGAAAATGAGACTTGCCCGATTGATGTGTACTTGTTCTGTATACGGACTAGAAAATTTTCCTTCTGATTCTTTCGGATGTTTGTTATATCAGAGGAGGATGTAGAGTTAGGAGAAAAGTGAGGATTAGATGGCATTTTGTTGATAAAAGCCTGTTATTTTATTGGATCACATTGTGATTGTAGTAATGCTTGGCCAACAAGTTTTGTTATCGGCAGCCAACTATTTATTTTCTTAATAATACCTAGGATTGTTCCTTTCTAAAAGGGTAGCGATTTTCACACTCTACTCGATTATCATAGCACGAAAACAAGAAAACAAGAGTGATGAGTGCGAATGGATAAAATGAAGTAGCGACTTTCACACTTTACTCGATTATCAATGCACTCCTCTGCTTTATTATGTCCTTTGATTCTTCTTTAATTTATTCAATCATACAGCAAAAACGAAATAGGAGAGTGCAAGAAGTGAAAATAGAATAACATTAACAGAAGCACTAGCAACTTGGTGGTTACCTTCTCTAATTAAATGTCCTCCTCAAGGTAAAAGATAAAAGAGAACGGAAATTTGGGAATCGTTGTCGGGAATCCTCATTAGCACTCCAAACTAGTCATTTTGCCCTACATTTTTCTATTTTTTTATGACTTTCTTGGAATGCGGCTAACAATTCCCTTGTTGGAAAGAAATTAAAAATCAAGAACCAACATAAAAGAAAAAGTGAACTATTTATTGAAGGCTAATGATTAGAGACGAGTAAAAAAAATTCTGGAACAACTCCCCACAAGATCACATGATTCAATACATCGACATTGACATCAAACAAAACCCAAGTTCAACCGAACACTTACGAAATTCGAAGTGATGAAATATTGAAAGTTGCTTTTTCTACAAGTACAAAACTCATGACAAAAGCTACTTAATTCTAAGACAATCAGTTCAGGCTTACAATTTCTCAAATGCAAAACATAACAATAAGCTAAACGGTACACGTGGATATCGGCAGTGTAGCAAATAACGAAGTCACAAACCTTATTTGCGGGGATCAGCTGGTCGCGGTGCTGCAACTGTTGATACCATCCTTGCAATCGTTGGTGAGATCGTTGAAAGTTTCAATCTGCTTTTTCCCTCTCAGGAACACTTCTGTATCAACCGAGACCCTCATGTAACCGTCAAATTCAACCGGAACTCCATTGTTGAGCTTAGTGGTTTCAGAGTACCACTCGCTGTTTTCATCCCAAAGATCCTTGTACTCGTCAAGGAAGTGAGCTGTATACTTGTCTTTCAAAGGATCAAAGAAAGATGTATCCGGCTCATTTGTTGCAATGTAGAGGTCCCTCCCGTCTTCAATTTTGTTCGGTAGGGTTGAGAGCAGCGCATTGGGTGAAGTATCTGCATCAAGGTTAGGCCACAACTCCTTGTTATGTGCCTTCTCCCCTCTCTCAATATGCACAGAGTCATAATCCCAGTTCAATTTTGATGCGATTGCAGACACTATATCCATCAACCTTCTTGATTTCCACACCAAATGCCATGGTCGTTGAACAACGGACTCTGTCTCCCCTTCACACACCCTATACCAATAATTGTCTGGCTCCACAGACCCAAACTTTCTCATAATCAAAGTATCCTTGACATCATTAAGTTTCATAGGTGTGACCCTATAATCCTCCACAAGATGCAGACCCAACCCGTCCTTCTTCTGCCATTTTTCCCAATCTGTCCAAAACTGCTTCGCGTCTAACACAGATGCAGATTCTCTTAAATGCTCGAAGTCAAAGTAAAACCTGAAGTCCTTCCCTTCCTCATCTTGATTGGATGAAGTGTAAATCGAAGACAGACAAAGAGTCAATTCCATGACCAAAGTTCGGTTCAGGTACTGAGCTTCACCTAAAGCACACAAGAAACTCCACAAGTAATGGTTCATGCTCTTGCACCTATCTCCACCACCCGTATATATTAAGTATTTCCCATGACTGAATGAAACTTCAGACTCAACCACCGGTAGGGTATCATTCACAATCTCCCCAACAACCGGCAAAGAATTCTCCTCAGTCTTCCCTTGCTTATCAAATCCGGCCTTCTTCTTCCTCTTCCTGGCATTTACTCCAGTATGGTACTCTCCAATATCACCCACACTAAGAGTACAATTCTCAGACTTCAAAATGCTAAACCTCCGATAGTCCTTGTAAAAAGAAGCAGTCTTCCCTTCCTTAGGCCTAAACCGCCAAGCCATATCACAACTGTTATCATCCGAACCCCGCACTGGTTTCCCAAACCGGTAAAAATGAATATCCTTAAACTTCTCTATGGTGGCCCTCATCATCAAATGGAACACTTCCGGGTCCCTGCAATCAATGGGACCCTCACAACTAGCAGATTCTGCTTCAGAATTCTCAGTGGTCGACTTATCGCCCTCGCTCAAGTTAACAACATCAGTCATATTGATAAAATTTCCAATCTCTGTTTGATTGGGAGCCAAGAAATTCTCACCAGTCCGGACCACAGTGTCATCGGACTTGAAAGTGGCATTGGATTTGGATGTGAGGAATGTGGTGATCTTGGTTGACGGGTGAAACAACGGGTCTTCGGGTTCATAGGTGGCGGCAATGATAGTAAAGATCAACACTCCCAGCACAAAAAGCGTAAAGCAAAGGTTCCCAATCAAGGCAAGGGCATTGGGGCCCAAATTCTCAGGCCTAAAGCCTCCAGCTCTGGCAAATGGGGACCGACCCATCATTTTTCGGAACTAGAAGCTTCTTCTACAACCAACCAAATCCACAATTTACCACGAAACACAACTGCCTAAATCACCAAACCACCCAAAAAAAACGAAGATTTAGACAAAAAATGGAGAAAAAATAACTATATGGGATTCGAAAAAGATAAGATTTTTATCGATTTGGGTCCTTTAATTTCAGATCTTGGAATAAATTCCAAGTGGGGTTTTGGAGATCTACGAATCGATGCAATGTACGAAGCCAAAAGATTAGCAGACGAGCAAAGATTTTTACCTTCTTCTTCTGCTTCCCACGTGGAGAGATGGAGCTAGAACCGTCGGGAAAGCTTCATTTCGTCACCATTTTCGTCGGTTCTGTCGACTTGGCTTCTCCAGTGCGAGTGTGAGCTGTGTGCAGCTGCTGGATTTTCTCTCTCAAACGTCTCTTACTTTTCGGTGAGGGACGACTGTGACCATTAAACCATATCACAAAATTCTAGACTGCGCAGGGGGTGTACTGCGCTTATCCGTTAGGATGGTTCCACGTGGAAGAAGCGGCTGCGTGGAAGGAGATGAGTGGTGTGGCGTATTGCGCCACCCGTATTGACTTGCTGAGTTCGGTGTTTATTAAAGGGAAGTGTCGACTTCACAGTTAAACAACTACAGACACACCGACAGTGGTAAAAATGTAATTTTAGCTTCTACTATTAATGATAGTTAAAGTAATTAATTAATAAATTAATGATGTATTTTAAGCTCCAACATATCAGCTCTTTTAGTTACTGAGTTAACTATTTTTTTTACCTAAATTGATGTCACATGTTAAGGTTGGTGCCTTAACTAAATAGATAACTGTCCTTGAGCTGAAGTACAGAAAGGAATGGGTTCCAGCCTTTGCCACATTTTCCAGGAGCATGAGAGCGGACATGTATGCAGCCAGAATGTCGTAAGGCAGTTTCGCGAGTTAAATCACATTTACATGTGAGAAAGTTAAAACGCATGACAATGTGTGATTGACTTGAGACGACGTTACATTGACATTCCTATTATATAGGTAATGACACTGATGCGGTATCCCGAATGTGAGAAAGCTAAAATGCTTGATAGCGTGTGAATGACTTAAGATATTGCCATAATAACGTTCCTAATATAGATAAATTACTCCGTGTAGCACTCCACCTTTTGGGGTTGCTTTGAATACAAGGTATCTTCAGTTATATAAATTTTTTTTCTTTTGTTTAATGGAGGAGAGGGAGTCGAAAACAAAATCTCTAGTGCAAGGAATCGTCTTTGAGCCAACTGAGCTACAAGCCCATTTCCGATATCCTTAAATTTTGGACATGGATTACCAACTTGACACTGCCTATATTTTCACTTGTGGTCAGAAGAAATGTGCGGTAAAATATCAGAGTGATTTTATATATATACATGAACAAAGTTTGAGATATACAATGGACTCACAATTCACCCTTACTCCAATCCGACATTTAAACTCCAGTAACTGGAGGGCGATTTAGCAGGGTGCAGAGTTTTAACTGACCAAACAAATAACTTTTACCCCAGTGATTTGTGAAACTCCAACAGCCAAACAAAATTATTACGTAGACTGCGTATTCGAAGGTGTACAAGATGCAGCTCTCTGCTCGATTCGGTTCATGCTATGCTCCATGCTTCTTTTAACCATGTCTTCCAATAACCTCTTTGCGGTTTCAGCTGCTTTGTCCGCTCCATCTACCCTTGTGGCAATGTCGTATACAATTCTCTCTAAAACGGAGGATGCCAGTTGCTTTTGCTGGGGAGAATCTCTAAGCAAGTCTAGTAGCGTATGAGCTCTCTCCCGGGCTTCAGCTGTGCCATCTACTGTCAGTCGAAGAAGACCTGGGACTGCACCTTCGTTAAGAATGAGTTCCCTGTATTTGTCGCGGCAGCTCTGACACATGGAGAGCAATGCTCCAACCGCATGTTGTGTGCTGATTAGGGATCCATCTTCAACAGTCTCTACTAAGGTTAATATCCCGCCTTCTGTGTTTGAGATTGCAGTACGTCCTTCTTCGAAATTGGAGAGGATCTCGAGAAGGGCAGTAGTTTTTTCAGCAAACTTGGAGTACTTTTTGCATTCCTTGAGGAGGTTGATAAGAGGACGAACGGCTGTAGCATCCAGAATAGTAGTTGAGTTCTCTTTGCAGGTGGAGAGATTGTGTAAGGCAGTCACAGCATCAACTTTTCCTTGAACACTTCCGGAGCTGAGGATCTCAACCAGGAGAGGCGCCGCTCCAGAATCTGCAATGATTGGCTTGTTCAGAGCAGCAGCTGAGAGTGTTAAGATTGCTGCAGTTGCTAAATCCCTTAAACTACCATTTTGGAATTTGAGGAGCTCAACAAGTGGGGGAACGGCTCCGGCCATCACAATCTTGACCTTATTCCTAATTAGCATCAAACAAGGACCCAATGAGACATACAGACAACATATTGAATATTATACTAGCAACA